AATCTGTGAGGGCTCCACTGCCAGGCACCATTTTGCTTGAACAGCAAAATCCCACTCTAGCCCAGGGCTCCCAATCCTGGTATGGGCAAAGGAGTTTAAACTTTCCTGAGACAGTGAGAGAGAAGGCATCCTGAAAAAGTTGCCAAAGTTATGAAACTTCGTGCGAGTGGGGTCGGAAGCCCAAGTTCATAATGAACCTGTGGGAGTCTGCAGGACTGGCTGCAAATTGTATGAAACTTGACATCCAAAACATGCCATGGTCCTGGCTGTGTTTCTTTTCTTCAGACTCTGGCTTTTAAAGAAAGGCTTCCATACCCCTGTAAGACAACATCAGAGTTGTTTCCAGTCTGCAAAGCCCACGAGCAGATTTTACACGGAGATAGAAACCATCATGTCTGAATAGCAACGAGTGGGAACACCTTACAGAATACAGGAGCTGTCAGCTATTTTTCCTACCGATGTGAGCAATGCAACCTGCCAGCTTGGTAATCGCCACTCACAATGAAGCTGAGGAGCTAGGATACTTAGAATCATCATTTCCATAGCATCTGCCATCTAGAAGGGCAAGAAAGAAAAAAATAAGTGACTGCTGAGAAATCAGGTTGACATAACATAAGATTGCTTATCTCTTTGAAGGTAACCTTGCCCTGATGAGGCTATTCTGACCATGGAGGCAAAACAAGGCAACCCTGTTTGAAAGGCACTGCAGGTTTGCACAGTGCAGTGGAAAACAGCAATATATCTTCAGAGTACTTAAGCTGGGTAGGGACATAAGCACTTCCAAACTCATTCCCTAGATACATGGCACAGCGCTGGAAGTGTTGCAATGTAGGCACTCAGGCTACAAGATTGCAGAATTCTTACTAATGCTAAGAAAAAAAACCTAAGCAGGTAGGATTCAAAGGGCCAAATTTAAGAGTGATGTAGTTTGGTGATGGTGAAAATTTCAGGGAGTCTGAGTTTGTTTAGCTCTTTTTTCCTAGCTACTTAGTATATGGTTTGCATCAGCATTAGACTCCCAAATACAAGCATTCATTCATGCCACATAACTTATATACCTCTTTATACATCACCCACAAATTTGGTTCATGTACATTAAGACATCTGTGAGCCACATTCTCCTTCAGTTACTGGACCAGGGCAGACAGTAACCCAATATATGGACAATAACTAGGAAACAAAAGATCTGGCTAACATATAATAAAGAGGACAGAGTAATAGAAAAGAGACCATTTTGCTCTGGGTACCACAGTTAAACCTAGGAGTACAGGAATTTGTTCAGACAGCGGGGAAAATGTGCTGAGGGTGAAAACACATGGAAAAGGGAATATCTTGCCCAAAAGGATGAATGTGGTAAAATCACCAGATTAAGGAAAAGCTATATAAACTTATGGTAGCAGCAGCCTGAGAGTTTAGAGCAGCAGGTCTAGCTGGACCCTCCCAACCATCTTAGAGGAAGAAGAGAAGGAGCTTAGCCTGCTATTTATGCATAGGTTAGCAGAATAGGTTAGCTCTGATTCTGGCAACAGTTCACACTTGAAACAGTATTTGTGTTCATGAAAGGTTGGGGGATTTTGTTCTCAGGGTATGAATACATCATTTAGACATCAATGTATGACACAGAGTCCATGCTATTGACCTTGACAACAATTACTTGCCCAGGCTAATCCAGTAATAACAGAGAGCTTCCACTGGAATTTCCCAAACCCAATGGCTTCCACCGCATCTTCCACCATAAAAGTATCTGGAAAAGAAACAGAGCTTCTGGTTCAACACTTCATTTTTTCCCTGCTAAGAGATGTGCTCTAAAATGGCACTTGCTAATAATCCAACTAATTTTTATTAATTTAATAATAGGCTAAATCTTCACAGCTCTAATTCATTTGTATTCAATTCTTACACACACTAACCCCCAGTTTCTTCAAGGATTTTGCCAAACACCATGATTAGGAAAATTAATAAATGAACTTACATATATACAGATTTTTAAAAATATAAATCAGTATGGTATCGGGGATAGAACTGGGAGCAATGATCTCAAGTTGCTGCAGGGGAAATTTAGGCTTGTTTAACTTATTAACTTGTCCATTGCCAACTATGTCTGTGCAAAATTTAGAATGAAAAACATGGTTTAAATGTTGTTTTAACTTCATAGTCATTTAAAGCAGCTTGTCTCAAAGTTTTGCCAATACCAATGGTCAATACACATAGTAAGCCAGTTTCCCACATTAAAAACTTCATCTAGCCTTGTAATAAACTGCTGTAAGTCATTTCCCTTCCTTCCTCACCCTCCCCTTAAAAAAATGGCACAGAGACTTTTTGAGATGTTGGTATTTAAGACACTTTGTTTGTGGCCAACAGGCCAACATAAATTCTCTCCATGTTTATGCACACACCCAGACTTTCATTGGTAAGCTGAGCTCTCTGGAGAGAGTCACTCAGATGCAGAGATTCATTCAAGAAAGTTAAATTTAAATAACTGCAAGGCACAAAAGTGCAGCTGAGGAAATGCACAGTCAGCTAAAGAATGCATGCACCAACCCCCCTGAAAAATCAAACAAGGGCATGTATTCTATTGTAATTCCATCCCGCTAATTTTTCCACCGCCACTGGAAAAGAAACAGAAAAAAGAAACCCAATCGATACTATGCCCATTCCCAAGTGCTCTACTGGCTTCAAACTACATCAAGAAAATATGTCTTCTGGATTTCTAAGTATCCAGTGTGTGTGTCTTCAGAACAACCTGTGCTTTCCACCTCCTGCCTTCGTATTGCTACGCAGCGGACAGTAGCTGGAATCCTTGGCTCAGTACCTCCCTCTTGTCCTCGGGGCCAGAGAGAGACAGGAACACTGCAGAGGCTTCACGCTCAGCTTTGAAGATGAGCCATGTGGAAGTGCTATCATGAACCCAGCACGTCATTTCTGAATGGAATTTTTCCAATGCTCCCAGACAGAGGGAAGGTGAGAGACCCAGACTCCATTCCCAGGAAGTCGTAGGGCTATAAAGGCTAAAATGTTTCCTTTTTGGTAGCAGACAGGTAATCCTCCAGTCTTTCCTGTCCTGAGCACATGGATACTGAGTTCCTAACAATATCGTGTCAGCCTTTTTACAGACCTTTTGGAATTAAATCAGCTGAATTTCTACTGTTACCCAAAAGCAAACTCTGAAAAGCCCCAATCAAAAAAGGCTAAAGGGCAATTCCAGTAAGAACTCAACTACATGTACCTAGTCACAGCTGACTAAAACAGAACAGACCTTGGAAAAATTAACATGCCAAGCCAACTCTCCCCAAGCTTCCTAAATTAGTGCTCTAAGGAGTTGGTCATAAACTGATCGGGACCCTTTGTTTGGGCTTTGGACATTTGAGTGGATTAGTTTGTCAGTTTTATTGTCTGGAACCGACTTTTAGAAGTGGATTGAAGTCTCAAGCTCAGATGCAGAACTTGAAGATACCAACTGTGTGGAATGCTTGATTCGATTTGCCGTGTTGTAAAGACACTGTTAAAGTTCGGACCCTGTGTTCAGCTTTGGACCTGCCCCAAAATTCACAAGTGTTTCCATCTGGGATTTGTTTGGGGTCCAGTCCTGATAACAGTAAAACAAATAAGCAGCTGACCCCTAGAGAAGGCAGTCCAGTTGTCACAGGCACATTGTTCGTCATTCAGCCCCATTGCTCTAACCCCCTCGATTGGCAGGTTCTCTCAAGGCAACAGACTCAGTCTTGGCTTCAGCATGACTAGAATAAGCCACATGCTTATTTTAAAGGGAGAACTAGAGTCTTGCTTACCGTCAGTTGGGTTGGCAAACTCCTTTGGCACTGCAGCTCCATCCTCCAGCTCTATAGCCTCTAGTTCTGTTTGGACACCTTCAATCTGAATTTCGTGTTCTCCCGAAATGGCATCTTCCTCTGACCTGGAACTCTCCCCTGTGCGGCGAAACTTGACCACCCTAGGAATGTACCAAAGAGAGACTCAACAGGAAGCAGTGAAACAGGTGAGGGTAGGAAAGGAAGCAAAGCAGATAGGCTCTCTGGGGCAAGAAGTCCCGAAGGAATTAGGAGCTGTCTAAATTCCTTGGTGGAAGTGGATTTTTGGCTTGATTGAAGCCAGGAATCTGTGGCTGCGTGCTGGGGAAGCCTTTTGCAGCAAGGGCAGCTGACTAGGAGAGGAAGAGGACTGGAAGCTGAGCCTGGCCAGCCTGCTTTGTGTTTCTGTTGTGCTGTAACTAAAGGACTTTGTTACTGCAGAATAGATCTCAGCTCCCCAGAGGGTCAAGTCATATTGTGAGCGGCTGTGCCCTGAAGACCAAAAGGGGAAAAACTGTAGCACAGGTGCCCTGCTACTCTGTGATGCAAAGCTATGCCAGCCTTCAGTTTTCCGCCTATATTTTGGCATCTGCAATGCTTGAACATTCGCATGTCAGCCCACCTGACTCTGCCTGTCAACCAGAGAGCTGTGCAGAATGTTGTTTGTGCCCTCCATTACTTGTGTGTTGTTTCACAGCTGCAAGAAGAAATGCAGATGTTATTATTCGGGACTAACCTAAAAAACAGGTCTTGAACATTCATATTCTGACTGAAAGCAAGTCTGTCCCAGCTGATCTTCATTACCAGGGTGATATAAAGCAAGCAGTGAGGTTTGGAGTACCCAGACCTCATCATTCCAGACTTTGAAGGCCCCATGTGACACACTGAATCTAAAGCCCTAATAAATCTTTCACCCTGTTTAATTTAATTTTGTGAATGACAAAGAACAATACTTATTGCCTATAGACTCAAAGGAGAGAGCCACTGCACGTACACTTGGCATTAAACTGCGAACAAAAAGAATTAACATTGTGTAAAATGTAAGGCCTGCACAACATACAAGGTAGGCAGCCATGGAGAATGAAGTGCTGCATGAACAGAGTAGGTCTAAGAGGGGAGGCATAAGGGTATCCCAATAAAGGTATCTTAGCCCTACACAGAG